GAGAGAGAGAGAGAAAGAGAGAGAGAGAGCCTAACCTACCCAAACATCTGCTGGAAGGCGCGTTTTTCATCTTCAGAGCCTTGCAGTAGTTCACACAGGTTGTGCTGAATGAAGCACTGTGTAAAAAGCTGTTGCCCAAACTCCTTGATAAAGAAGCAGTTGTTGGTGCCTGACTGGTATACAAGAGACAAGCTTCTCATCATGCACTTGTTGAACTGCGTGATCAGCTGGCGGTGCTGTAATGGAAAAGTACAAAATATATAACAATTAATTATAGAATAAATAAATATATATATTACTTCAAAATAATTAAGAACAAAAGATGCCTATATATGTAAATGCACGGAAACTCAAGTCTCACTTTTCAGTAAAATATTTCGACTTCAAATTAATCGCGTATACTTGCATGTAGTGTTCTTTTACTTTCATGCCAGTGGTGAAAAATATTGTTCATTGCCAAAGTTTATCTTGTTGCTGATGCAAAATAAAAAAAAGTAAACGGGCAAAGAGAAAAAGAAAAAATGGTCGTTAAATATGAGAACAAATAGGACATTTCAGTAAGTCAATTAGTTAATCATAAAGTGCATTCAAGTGTATCAGAAGTGCATCAAAATGTACCTCGTAACCACCAGCAAAGCGTCCCATTCGTCTGCAGCTGAACTCGGCGTCCCTGGCGTATTGAAACTTGTCGCAGGTGAATCTTTCTCTGAGGCAGCGATAAAACCGGCAATGCCCGGCTTCGGCTTGACTGAGGCATGTCGCGTCGACTTCTAAAAACGAAACAAAAACGGAATTTGGTTAGATTTAAACGTGATTCTAACTGGTGTCAGATTGTATCATCCTTTAATACTCAGTGTAAAATTGTCAGTTTAAGTCTTCTCACGGGCAGAAGGTAGCTGCGTTGGGCTAGTTTAGTTTTATGTAGCTTTGTGCCCCATAAGAGCCTGCACGTTGGCCTTTTACCAGGTCAGAACGGAAACTAAATCGACATGATAGTAAGTGAACCGAGTGAAGTCATCTCTTCAAAGTCGTGAACCACCTCTTGGCGACCTGCCCACCCCGACATGTAGAGAGTATTTCAACTACAAATTGTTTGAATACATTACGATCTCACACACTACTCTGCGCTGCTACTGGAATGTCAAACACTCCGTGAGGAATGGGTGCGTCAAAATGTCACCGAGCAACACCAATGTCAACCTATGCGGTGGTCGTCGCAGTGAGTCACCGAAGAAGACACTGTTAACATTACCTTTGAGTATTCACTCGTTAATCTGGATGTTTCAAATATCTTATTTACGTTACCTTAATGCACTTGCTTTAGGTAGCCCGATAAAATGGGTCGGTGTGAGTTTTATTGTCAAATATTTCTGTAACAATTTTGAGTCCTCCAATGGTATACTCTTACAGCCTATACTTCTGAAGAATCTTTTTAAGCATCAGTGATTCATTAACCTAGATTTTTTCATCACATTTAATTAATAAGTCATTTATGACCCAGTCATCACTCGTAAAGCGTTCACAGGGTTAACAATTAGCAATGAATCATTTAATGGGTAGTAACCACTGACCGAAAGAATCCAATTTCCTAATATCAGTTTTAATAATTGGATGATTAGGATATTCTTCCGGTGTTTGACAACCACAATAATACTATAACGTACGGAAGATACACACTATCCGTGGCAATTTGAGAACATTCAGCTCCTAATAAAAGATCATCACTATTATCAAAGTGCTGTTAACAGGTATTTTATCATCCAAGTGCTACATGTATTGTACATAGTCATGATGTACAAATGTATGAACGTCCGAGGGTACGTGAATAAATCATCCCTAAATAAGTTGATACAGTAAAAAAAGGACTGGCACTCAAGAAATCCCCACACCACGGTCGATTGTCTTCAACGGCAATATAAAAATTGGTTCAGAAGTATTTTACTATTTTTTTCTGAAGGTTATCTTTCATGATTAGATTACGCCCCCGTCTTGTCCATTAACTGCTGTTTCTAATGCCAGTGTTTCCATGCACTCTGCATGGATTGCTGTTTTCAGGACTGTAATATTATTTACGGTCGTGTATGTGTATGTACACACCAGCCACGCTATGCATCGTTCAAACACACTGAGGTTCATGTACCATTACGGTAAAGTGGACATAATAGGCACGGGGTTCACTTCACATTTCATATATCATATATATCAGCTTTTCCAAAAGTAATACCCATTCAGGCTATAGTAATTACTGAATCCAGTTTTACGACTACAAGTTTCTCATATATGACATACGAGGCTGGAAAGTATTCCAACACTGAAAAAAGAGCCTCGCATTAAATCTTTGGCACAGTGTGCAACAGGTCAATGCCCCACGCTAAAAAAAAGGGGGGAGGGGCTCATAAAGGACAAGACATAGAAAGAGAACCCCTTCCCTCTCTATTCTCGTTTTTTTTTAAGTTTCAGGGAAAATAGAATTAAAAAACTCCACCAATGCCAGCTAACCCAGTCTTACCTTTGGATGGAAGGATATACTTGAATCTTTCATCTTTCTGTGTTGTGCCTCTTGTGAAAAAGTGATCCTCTGCTGCCGCGCATATTGTGAATACGGCAAGAAATGCAACTGTGGCTAGTTGAAGTCCGTTCTGCATCTTCTGTTTTAAATTTGATTTTTACTTGAACAATAACAATCTAATCCTACACGTGTGCCCTTCTCACTTCTGGTCGTTATCAGAACACCTGCACCGAGTTGGTCTTAGTGAATGGTTTACTCTAAGCAGCGCAGCCGTCATTTATATATATCATAGCCCTGGAAGTGGGTCAGGGGAGTATTTCCTCCATATAAGGAAACTGTGGGCGGGGCCACATAATGTCTCGGGGGTTGTGTGACAACCTACGTCGGAAGTGTGTTACCCAATCTGCAACTCGTCACTGGGCATGGTTGAACGATTATTGCGTTGCGTGAAAGAGTATGGCGTTTAATTGTAATAAGAAAATTGAATTGAAGCTCTTGAAATTGCTTTTTATTTAGACGGAAACTAACCTTTGTTCTTTTTCCTTATTTATTTTTTCGGTATAAGCAAAGAGAAATCCACGACGTTTTTACGTCATTAATCAAACATAGTATTCAAGACGAGCACCAAAGCACTCGACGTTTCTATGTGGCGCTCAGACGGCACGAAATTAGACCATTCCGACGAGATCTTCTACAAACAGAGATAGTTTCTTTTTTGTGTTCAATACCTCAACTAAAACTAAATTTTTAAACGGACAAGTTACAATAACACATGTTAACCAATCTAAATCTTTTAAGGACACTATTGAGTACATGCGTTTGTAGCTCATTGATCTAACGAAGTAACTTGAGTCATGTGTGCTGGCTATGAAATCAATTATGCGACCACAGACATTAATCGCACGACAGAACTTTACTATTTTTTACTCATCTCTCGTCATAGTCAAACAACAATTTTCCACATGGAAGAAAACTACACGTGGAAATTCAATTAAATGGTTCACCCTTTAGAAAAATACAGAGCCACTTCTGCTATTGTTGGACAGCTTAGACCAAAAAGAAAAAAATCGTCGTGAGGAGGTCTTCGTAGTCAAACCGCATGACACAAAGATTTGTGATAGTTCTCAACGTTTTGGGAGGGGAGTTTTGAATATACGAGAGCAGCTTAGGTTAGCACCGCTCCTACTCCACAAACATACGCTTAAGTTGCTCATGGCGCAGTAAAAAGAAAGTTAAACAATTGATAAAAAAAATTATCTATATCCTTATTAATACTCACATGTTTTTAGGGTTACAAAGTGAAAGTACCCGTGTTATGTCACTCATATTGATCTAAATTATTTCATTTTATTGAGTTAAGTATACTTCAATATAGATCAATAAATCATGATTCGTTCATTTTTATTGTCCATTTTACGTAAGGGAAGAAAGAAATTGTCCACATCATAGACGTAATGATGCAACCTTCCAACTGAAGGAACTCGATTGCCCCTTTACATTATAAAGAATACATAATTGCATTAACCCAGCTTCTCGGCCACGTTCACTCGTTGTCCTCTTCATAAAGCTTCCCCCACTACAGCTAATAAAAGTACACCAGAAGAAAATTTTCAGTTAAGGCAAACCTTACACAAACGTACTGACAATCGTCCCTGAAATGTTGCTGTTCGCTGGCTATTTCGTGTGTGTGTGTGTGTGTGTGTGTGTGTGTGCGCGCGCGTGCATGTGTGCGTATGTGTGTGTGTGTGTGTGTGTGTGTGTGAAGTAGGAGGGTTTGAGCATTTGACACTTTAATGTGCAATCTATGAAGTATTCTCGTGCAGTTAAAATGGTGGCATAGTTTTCATTATGTAGTCAGTAATTCAACAAACCATGGCCCACTAATTTTACTCGGCTGTTAACTGTGCAAAGAGTCCGTTTCGCAGGCACATAACTGCATGTAGAACACCGAGGATCTCTAAAACTATCCTAGATCCTATCTCTCATATCCTTTGCGTTTAACTAACAACTATCTAAGGGCCTGTTCGTGCTTTCACTACGACCACAGCTATATCGCGTGTCCCAGGTTCTTACTATGAGGTTAGTTGGTAAATCCATCCTCACACTATGACTGACCGCTACCGTGTGCACCACAGTGACCATATCTGGCCACAGTGACCGACGGTTAGAAAGAAGACTGATTCATCCACTGTCCCGAGCAGGTGCCACGACATCTTTAAAAAGCAATTTCGATATTGCCCATCTTTTTACCGTGGGTCAAACAGTGTGTACTGCGTGTGCCTTTTTCTAGGTGTTTCTTTCAATAGAGCGGTCTCTAATTTAAGATTCTGGTTGCAGTGAGACTTTTTTAATAAGTCAAATGGAAACATAAATAAAATCAATTTAATGCGGGAAGTACGATTTTTAAATTGTCCCTACCTCCCCCCTTTACCTCGAAACTGGATCATCTAGAAAAGTAATTTAGGGTGCAGACGTAACCCGGAATGGAATATTTGTGCAATTTGTAACATTTTTGTTTTACGCTTAAATACCACAGCAGTGTGCTAGACCTAAAAAAACTTTCGCGTGAGCAAGTCACGCCCACGAGTTGAATAATGCGAGTGACAGGACCATCTAAGGGAAAACAGTGAGTTGGCAGCCTTTCCATTATCTTTGACAGAGAGATACATCGGTGACATCAATCTCTGCCTTGAGATACAGTTGTAAGGGGACACGCCGCCGGAACATCTTACCGCACTAACCTAAGCTCTATAAATTTTTATCTTAATAAAACAGTAAAATCCCCATGGTTCCATGGAGGAGGTGCAGTTTTCTAGCTCTCTCTTAAAGGCGTCTGTCCAGAAAAAAGCACGGAAATTACAATTGCACTCAATGTTGCAAAATGTACTTCAAGTACATTAAATCGGAACACACCGTTCGCATTTGTCTGGATTGGAAAGCAAAAGTACGATACACATGTAGGCCTACTATAATAATTTGCCCGAGATCAGGAACAGGTTCAGAGTCTACGCATAGTTGTAGCTTCAGTCATTTGACACACTCCCGTGACTAAGTAAGGTCCAGCAACATTTTCCGAGGTGTATCTCAGAGAGTTGGACATGGTTTTGGTCAGTTATCCGGATGTGATTCATTTTTTATTAAGACATTTTAATTATTTGTTATACTGCGTCCATTAGATCGGCTCCTTGAATATTCCTTGTTCCAGATTGCGAGCGTTTTCTAGGAGTGGATTGCACGGAAGCCGCCTTGTGACCACTAACGCATTTTATCCAAAGCTGAGGAAGTGATAAATTTTGCTTCCTTGTGTGCACACGAATACATATACGTATGGTGTATCATAAACATGAATTATTTGACCTATTATTGATACTCCTCATCAACATCACGTATATTTCCTTCCTGCAATCAGTTAGATTGCCCCATTCGTACCAAGTTTGTGAAATATGCCCTCAGACTCGAGAAGAGGTCAGCCGTTGGTTGTTTCTCCGGCCACACAAATTTATTCTCATACATTGCACTTAAACATTTTATATCTATGTTTATTTCTATATCCAATCGAATATATCATCTACACATTTACAATATGATTTCCTTATTTACTTTTCACTGAGTGCTTCGTGTCCTATTTTTGTTTTGCTTTTTTTTACGAAGAAGTAGAACTGATGTACTAAAAATTCCATCCATTACTAAACCAGTTAAGATAGGTTTGCATATTGTTTTAAGTTGCCATGGGGATGTATGACAACTTAAAACGTGGTGCGTCCTGTAATGTTGAAATAAATGCAAGTACTCCATTAAGATGAAAACAAGGCTTTTTAACTGCACTGCTAAAACAATCCCTCTATCTGCCTTTCACAGCAACTATAATAACATCGTTCTTTGAAGGTCCGATAGTCACCGTTCAGTTGTAGTATTTGTCTCAGCGATATTTGTATCAGCGAGCACATCCGCCCATCGAAAGCGGTCATCATTCAATAAGTCAGCTAGCTGGTCATTGTGAGAGGCGTAAAATTCTCTCAAAAGTGTCCTAGTAGAATCCCACATTTTTCCAATGGTGCTATACGACTCAGTTCTAGAATTAGTTGGTGCTCTGGCTAAAATCTCGTCTTCTTCCCATGGATTAAGTTTTTCTGTAAAATAAAAACAAGAAAAAAATCAAGTGTCTTCCAAAACGTTAAAGTATATCTATTTTCGGGGAAAAATACGACTATATTGACTAAACTATCAAGCTAAAATTTACGATTTGAATTAACAGAAAATTGAAAAGCAAGCAAAAGGTGCCAATAAAAATCACCCATTCAAAAATTAAACAGGCCCGTAGCCGGGGGAGGGGTTTCGAAAGAACCGCCCCTTTTGCTGGGAAAAAGGTCCACTCTGGGTAAAATTTGATCTAGGTACATGACGTTTTTATGGGAAAAGGTCCAGTTTTTCAGAATAACCACCCCCCTTTTGAAATTGCTGGTTACGGGCCTGTTAAAGGTCACAATGAAACTTTGATTATTTTACGGTGATCGGTAAAACGCAAGCAGTGGTGTCTTTGGTTATTTAAAAATTGTTGCCTTGAATCATAAACTACGCTTATAGACACTTTTCATAGGTATGTTGTTGTCTTAAGGACACCTTTCCTTCCAAATAGGCCTAGTTCGTGTTTATGATTTAAAGACATTCTGCTTCCTTTGACAGTAGGAACGTGACTACTACTACCACTACTCGGGTACAAAATTGCATTCTTAATGCACGCTCAGTTCTACCCTGTACTTCTAAAACAGATTCAGTGCCCGTCTCTTAAAAAATTTGAAGAAGACTCCGGCACACGCGTTCATTAAAATAACAATCATTCGCACTGTTTGTTATTTTTATTTTTCTAAACAGAAGGAAGTGGTGGGGTGGGATTTCTAAAGGGACAGTAATCATTATGAGCAACTATCCTTCTCTAAGATCCCACGAACCCTACTTCAACTGAAATGTTCTTGTTTTTTACTGTTTATTCGACACGCTTTGAGTGATTAGCTACTTGGGTTGTTTCAAAATATATGAACATAGTCATTGTACTTACTTAATCCAAGGAATTCATAAACTTTATTTAAACTCCCTCTCATGTCGCTATGGTAGTCTTCTAAACGGAGGAATAAAAGTTGATCACGTGGAAACACGTTAAGGAAATCTTTCACGAACACGTGGTACAGACCCAGTCGAAGCCGAGCTACCTGGAAATGACGTAGGAGCAACATGTAAATGATACAGGTCATTAAACATGATCCCTGCATTAAGTAGATCTACGTGTTTGTAGCTAAATTTTGAAAAGTTAAGAGTGTCTTCACTGTGTTCCTTTGCTGAATAATTTTAGTATTTGAAATGGTACTTTCTGAAAAAAGTGTTTATTGGTTACGAATATCTTTTGAAATAAACATCAGGTGAATTCGTCTGTTGCCTTTATATCCCTTTGTTTTGCAGTGCTGAAGACAGTTTGAGGGCATTTTGGTGTGTTTTGAGACATGATTTAATGTTAAGGTTGTAGGATTTTCAAGCACGTGCTATTTGAACTTACCGCCAAAGGTTTTTGGTGGTTTAGTTCTTTGCTATATACACAACTCCTGACTGAATAATGTTTAGTACAGCTAAGAAATAGAAGGACTGCGGCTGATGCCCACTCGTGGAACTTTGCTGGAGATTTGCCTTCACTTTTTACTCCTCCGGTAAAAAAGAGGTAGTCCGAATATAGCCTGAAATCAACATTTTGAGTGAATAAGTGTTCGGTACTGTATTCTTCATAAACAAAAAAGTGATATCCATAAATAAATCTGTTTTCACTTTATATTGCCTGAGAACCTGACGTAACTAACACATTTGCCTTAAATACAATTGATACTGTATACAATTAAAACTGTGCCTTTAATCTGTTTGTATGCTCTTATTGTTCAAAATTATTAAATAGGCCCAGTTTTACGGACACTTCTTTAAAGAAAAGTGAATTGTGTCAGTCAAGCCGGTAGAATTCATTATAACAAAGCGCACCCTCATATTAAATGGGCGTTTAGATGCTTCAAAGACAAAGTCGCCATCTATTGGTTGAAAATGTGGGACAGTTGAATAACTGAATAATTGTCAACACGCAATCTCGCCATTGCTGACAACGTTGTTTTCACTAGTGCCACTATAACTCTTTTATACATTATGCATCAGATCTATGTGGCTAAAAACGCGCTTGGTTTTATGACAGCTTGCAATGAATAATTTAAACAAATAACACCTTTATTTGTTCTTTCACCTATTATAATACTGAGAGCACATTCCAGTGTTTCACCCGTTTAAAGGCTCATGATAGATATCGAGAGTTTTTAGAACATAGGAAACGTGTCAGAATGCAGTGTTTTCGATTGCTTATAAAATTGTAAAAATTTGACATTACGCATTAAAAAAACATACCTAAAGATGTATTAATGAAGCAGATCGCGTAGTTAAATCCCCCCTTTGATTTTGAAATTTCATGTTAGTGAATTTATCAGTTACTAGTCAACCTGGTTCCAGTAGAAGGTTTCAGTCAACTCAGTGAAGCAGGCCGCACAGTTAATCCCCTTTTTTAAATTCCAAATAAATGAAGTTAGTAGTCCACTACCGGAAATAGGATTAATGAGTGCATTCTGAACAGCGGACTAACAGGTCTGCAGATCAAATATGGCCGACCCACTTGAATGCTTGTTGCGTAATACCCGCAGGGAATAAAATCAGTGTTTTATCGGGAATTAAGCGGCAAATGGGTCGCCAAATTTGATCCGCCGATCTGTCAGTCCTCTGTTCTAAATGCGCTCAATGTGAATGTACCCTCTACCAGAATGGCAAATTTATATAGGGAAAAACGGAAAAATCCCCAGACACAATGACAAAGAGCCAAATGACTGTCTATTTATCTAGAGACATATCAGTGAATATCTGTGAAAAATCAATCTGTCGCCCTGGTAGAGGGTAATGTGAATGACTCGTGACTAGAGAAATGCTTAGTTACAGGTACCTTGCGGTAGGCTCCCTGAAAATGGCGATGATTTTCACGCCAGGCTGCAGATATCTCATGTAATGGGCTACGGTGATGTCAGGCTCGTGCTTGCTGGCGTTGTTTCCCCTCATTTCTGGCCAAAAATCGTTGTCAAAGAGGGTACTAGTGCTGTAATCACCTACAGTCAGAAAAAAAACTTACATGCAACTTAGATATCAGTTTTATGTAGGTTTTTGATTTGTTTTATATCAGTTTTGTTTTAACCATTAATTTTCTTATCTGTTTATTTGTCTATTTATTGTTAAACATGCGAGAAATGAAAAGGACTTAAAATGTTTCTTATGCATTTTGTATTTGAGTGCATGTGCCTGAGTATGTTTTGACACTATAGGTATCAACAATGATAAAGGAGAAAAGTTGGAGTAGAAGTGAATTGAAATGATTGTTGTCTGTTGCCTACCAACAATGGAAGGATGAAGGTGAGAGCAATTGGAACAAGTGTTGTCCTCAATCTCCGATGCAGCATGGTCAAATATGTCCAAAAACTCGCCAAAACTCACTTTTTCCTCGAGGTTCCCTTTGTATGAAATAAACAACAAAATACTGTTTGAATGAGTCCAATAGCTTTTCTCAGAAAATTGTCTGGTAATATTTCCTAATATATGCTTTTCAAACACTGGTATACTAAACCATGGTTCGAGCACACTCATTTATATAAAATCACTCTTTCTCCTCTTTGCTCACCCATACACTCTTAAATCCCTCTCTCTCTCTCTCTCTCTCTCTCACACACACACACACACACACAAACACACGCTCACATGTACCTTTGATCCGTATGGCTAGACGGTTCCACCACTGAATAACCTTCAGCAGGCCGTCTGTCACATGGGGGTGATCTTTGATCCTAAGGTAGAGGTCGGTTGTGCCACACTTGGCGATACCAGCCAGGTAGAAATAAGGAAGGCATCGAAGTCTCCTCCCCGTCTGCACCCATTTCGGTGTTAGTTCCAGTTCCATTTTGTCAAACTTCATTGGCATCACATCCTTAAACGGGTGGTTGTTCCTGTACCAGTTGGTGTCGTAGGCGCCGGGGAGAGGGGCCTCCTCGTACCAACAGGGGTTCTTGAAATCTGGATTGAACTTGGGCTTTTCCTTATAAAGGAAAGGTGGATCAAATGAATAAATAGAAAGGTAGGTTAAAAATGAATGAAAAAATAAATAAGTATAGAGATAAATAAAAGTAACAAAATATTTCATTGAAAATCACATAATAGCTGTTTCGTATTTTTCTTTAGATCTAACGCAATGTTCATAAAAAACGTAACATTCCTTTTAGATTTTTTGCTATACCCACCACCACCACCTTATATTTCGAAGAATTTTTACAGAAAAAAGGGGGAACCTACTACATGTATTTAAGTTGTTTCAGGGGCGTAACCAGGCATACGCACCAGATGCACTGTGCGTACAATTTTTTGAGCCAACCATGATATTATTCTCCATAAATTCAGTGTATTTTTCACGGAATATAATCGTACCTGAGAATTTTCAAAATCTGTGCGTACAATTTTAAATGGTCTGGTTACGCCCCTGGTTGTTTCACGTCCCTTGTTCAAATATAATTTATGTAAGAAATGCTCTCACCTGTGAAAGCAAAACTTGACAATTCTACTTTCACGAAGATAAGCTTGATTTTACTTTTAATTACTACAGTCACCAATTCGTCTCATTGATGAAACGAAATCGGGACTGCATTGCAGAAGAGAAATGGTTACGCAAGATAAACCGCAATTTACGCTTAAGACGTGTTTCAAACACGTTTCATCCTTCTTTTTAAATCTTATTTTGCTGTGTACAATATTTACTAACATTACTCGAGATTCAAATAGACGACATTTCCCACCTACCATCATTATCATGACGCGCTTCACTACACATTAGACGAGTGACGTCTATGTGTCTGAAACCGGTAGCGTAAGTGGACTCTACGTACTGTACGCCCTACTTGAATGTCAACTGATATCAACCGATTTTAGATTTTTTTAACAGTCTGAGATCAGAAATGTTTTGAAGTCGCAGGGCCTGCTCGGCGTTGCCGCATTTCCGAAGAATATTCAATCACCCCTATCATAGAATACCATATGGTACTTAAACTGAATTCATGCAGTGTTGCAATAAATTACTTAAATTATGTCATCTTTAACATATGATTAAAAATTAATCAACGGATCCTTCCCGTGCCGATATAAATATCTTGCTGTGACTATTCCGATTTTCTTATTTATATACGCAAGCTGTACACAAGTCCCGGTGCATATTTAGAATCTCATTAATACAACCCACACGTAATGCAAATAAGCATTCAATTGCAATGCTATTAACAAAACAGATACATTTATAATTTGACGTACAAGTATCCAGCAAACACAAAAACGAGAGACTGGTCTGATCTGTTTTTTAGAAAATAAAAATTTGGTTGGATTGATTGCACTTGTCGAACTGTTTGAGCAACTAGCGTATATTAGCTTTTACCACTAATAGGCCTACATGTACATGTAGGTTAGTTACCCTCTGGTATCACAGGGGCCTCTAGTATAGACTGTCACAAAATTGAAGAAGATTCAAGAACTTAACCAATTGCGACCTCTGTAGTCAGAGTGTATAGTTATGTATGTATAGTTATGTATAGTTATGTACTACACCTTAGGAAGAGAATTAACCTTTAATCCCATTGCACTGTTTTTATATCATATATGTAATTGGCATGCGCATGCTTTGAAAAATATGCTATTAGAAGTCCATGCCCACATGCCTCACTTTTGTTTGATTATACAACGCAATCTTGTGTTTGAATCATTTAATCATGTGTGTTGCTGCAGAATACAGCTGTATGGTCTTTTTCATACCGACCAGAATTTGATCAAAAGAAATATCAGCTTTATGTAGTGCCAGGTTGCTACTCGATATGTAGCATCTACCCCTGTTGCTTCATTTGTAACAGTGCCAAAATTCACGGTTTTTTGTTTGTGTTTTTACCCTGAAAATGTCCATGGTTTCGGTGGAATTTCTCACCCCTCTCTGGGGTTACCCCAGGAAGTTGGTCAGAGGGTGTTGAATTCAAGTATTTTTTGCGATATTTATTAAGGTCATGAGTTGAACCAAAAGAGATTTATGCACTAACAATGCGCTTAAAATCCCAAATCTTCAGTTGGTCCCTTTAACAATTCATCTTGAGTATAAAGATGAAACTATTTAATATGTATCTCTCTGACCACGGTATGAGGGTTAAAAGGGGGGTGGTGAAAATATGTGTATGCGGGCCATTTGAAGTACATGTACTTTCTATTAGAAATAAACTGAACTGAATAAAGACAAACCTTTCTCCCTGTCATCTGTTCCATGTCCAGGATAATAGCCTTCTTAAGTTCCTCGGGTAACAGTGGTGGGAATAACTCCGTATCTTTTCCTAATTCACCAAAAATATCCGTGTCTGAAGGGGGTCGAGCGGTGGGTCCGTTTGTTAACAAGTTTTTAGTCACGACAGCCGCTTCTGTGATCTGCTTGGTTACTGCTAATGGCAAAGACGGTCCAATTGTTGTTGTTGTTGCTGTTTCAGACCCAAGCTCTTTCTCGGTTTTCTGTTGGTGGTATTTATCTGTATTTTGGCCTCTGTATGTAGGAATCTTACGTGAGATGGATGATGATGTTAAACGCCCTGTGATAACGCAAAGAAAGTGAGTGCATGGACTCTTGAAAAGGGACAAAATTAGTTAAAAGAAAAGTGATGAATGGACTCTTGAAAAGGGCCAAATTTAGTTTAAAGAAAAATTATGACAGGTCAATTAGAAACATTTTTGTCTCAACTACCTGCTTTGATGAAAATATATATTACAAACCATATTATGTTGAAATATGAAATAATTAACTCTGGTCTTTCTCAGTAGGTCTTTTGTACCAAGCCCCCTTAAACTAACATGCCTTGCGGATTTGCAGATGCGAATGGAAATGATACAAATAAAATAACATCTTTTTCATTACTTACCGCTGTATCCAAGAAAAGCCAGAGTAATAAGCTCCACGCTTAAAATAATCACGAAAGCGACCTTGCATTTTTTACGCGTACAGGTCGAGAAATTCCTCATGTTGTATCCACTATATCCCAAACTTGGATGGTAAACTTAAACACCCGTATCGGCCACCAAATCAACGTGGCAACCAAGTCACGCCTTCAGAAACAAATATATCATACAAATGGCAAGTTTGAATAATCTAACACAGGCCTCCATGCATTAATTATACAAATCATAATGCTCAATGAGTAGAAGCTCACATATCGAATATAAAAGACAACTAGATGATATTGTTCTGCTGTTTGCAAAGGAAACGTTCACAACATTACAAATATGCCTCTTTGACTGACTTGATAGATATCAAGCAAGCTGTTTATTATTTATTACCATTGGTTTCTTCTTGTTCGCAATGGTTATATAATGTTGACCAACAACAGTCCAAAGCCAGGTTAAATATAATGATTTATTCATTTTCTTCATACATATATTTTGAAAGGATCTAAGCCACGATGATAAGGCAAAGTTCTTCAGTGTTTTTTGAAAAGTCGTGAAAAATAATAAGTATTTCTACTGATGCTATTATTATTATTACTGTGAAGTGGCGGGTGTAGACTTTATACACGTATACCCATGTGAAACGTACTGTTGATTCCAATAGATTTCCTTAAAAGTCAACATCGAGAAGCTTACACTTTTATCTGACGTTGTTTTAAATGTCTAGGATATTTCATATTACCTAGATTTTTTTGTGATACAAAATTGTGTTTCCTCCTGTCATTAAATGGCGGTTACACTGTTAGAGAAAAATTCAACCTTCTAATAATCAGAAAATTAAGGTTTTCGAGCGAGAGAGAGAGAGAGTGTCCTGGAAATGGTTAAACTGTGTTGCAATATACAGATGTTGCGATCGGTTGTTTTTGTGCTCTTGAATCACAACTAACACAATTGCATTTTTCTCCGTGAAAGAACCCGGTGTCTCTTTTGTTTTGGGTGATGGCAACTGTGGTCATTCCAAAATAAAAAATATCTAAGGACATATGGAAATTCAAAGTCAAACCAGAAAAATTGCATTTTGTGAAAAATAAAAAAAAAAAGAAAACCTCACAAAAATCATATTTTAATTGGAATAAATCCAGCCCTATTGGTTTTTTAACCAGAGCTGTATTTTAGTCCTGCAACACATTCCGGTATATTTAGGACTAATTAATTGCATTATTTTTCTTGTATGTTGTTCGCGTTTACAGTGCGCAAATTCTAAATTCTTTTTACATTCTATTTGTACAAGTTCTCTGTCATGTATATCTAGTGCATATGTAGAATAGTCCGTGGTAATGGTGACAGCTACTAGATATTCCCTTCCTCTGAATGACCCAAACCACTACAATTACATGACAATAGACAGGTGAGTGAACACTATTTATGCAAACTAATAACTCTCCGACAGTGTTGACTGGGCACAGTATCAGTTCCTAGTGTATTAAGCAATAGAGGAATTTAAGACTTATGAATGATCGACTGCATAACCTGTGTCAGCCAAGAACTGAAAAAAAAAAATGGATTTGACAGCTAACCTGTAACATCGATGTAGATTTGCCTTTCTTGTGAAAACGATTTCAACAGCAACTCATCATTAAAATGGCAATACGTCATAACAGTTCTAATTTACATAACAGTAAGTTGCTCAGCGCAGTGCGAGCTGTCATCCTGTCATTTGACAGCGGGACCCAGTATGAGGAGGACACGGGATGGATCTGGTGAATTACAGGGCCAAACATTTCATTCTGTGCTGAAGCAAATGTGTCTTGTGAGTAACGTTTCCTCTAGTACTGAAAGCGGGGATTTACAGTAACCTAATAGTTATTTACACTTAAGAGAAGCAGACTGTGGTAACATTCATTACGTAGGATTCGCCGTTTATTTGATGAGATTGCTTGTTTTTAGACTTGTTTGGCTTTATTCGTTTTCTAATAATTTGGACAATTTTTTCCATTCATCTGAGACTTTACTTTGAGAACGCTTTATAATAATGTAAGCTCTATTGCTTAATACAGTTCCCTTGTCAGTTTGCCAAGGATTGTCAGTGTTATAGAATGTAGTGTACAACAGTGACTGAAATTTGGAAGCATAAAAAATTTTGATTCTTACACTTCATACCCTTTTGCATTCAATTTTTTAACTAGGCGTTCAGCTAGCCTCAGTGCGATTTTCTCAACATGAGCACATGTCTATTTTCAGTTTAATCTTTCTCCAAATTTTATTGTATTGGAATATTGAATTATGTCACTAACGTTATTTTCATATTTCAGAATTCCCTTCTTCTTTGCCGAGATACTTCAAAATGCACATGGAACCGACAGATGCTTGCGTAGCCTTCTGCCTGGCGACTACTTGGGAGTGGGATACATGCACGTACATGTATGCACAGGCAAACCTTGTACGATAAAAATCGTGCATGCTGATACTGCGATTTAAAAAAAAAACATTAACGGTCTACCAGTTCAAAATAATTCTGTACGTATAGAATTGGTATACTTAAAATTTCAAAGTATTTGCACAGCTTTCATTTATTAAGTAGACGCATAACTGTATGATATTGGCGATTATGGTATACATTGTATAAGCCAATTTTTTTCATCATGCGTAAATGCCATCATGAGACACTTGTGATAAATAAACAATTTTGCCTGAATTGTTGCGATTTTGGGGGAGTGGGCGGTTTGATCTAAAAGATACAGCTGAAGTAAATGTAACATCGATATGAGATGAATTTTCAGAACCTGTTATCTACCCGATTTAAAATTATATCATTTGCTTCTTTAGATTAAAACAAAAAAAGTTCAGATGTTTGTAAATTGTAACAGTTGAAATAAACAAGATGTATCTCTGCACTGAGTTCTCTTATTGATATACTCTGTCATGAAATATGGACTTAAAAACATTGCTGCTAACTGCTAAATTCCAGATGCTATATATCCGTTCACTTAAAGAAGTTTATTTACCCCTCGACCTTTTCTATTCACCAAACCTATTCTATTCACAGTGGGTCGCGGGAGGGGGGATTTACCATGACGTTTGGATATTAATTTAATCAAGTTTGGCGCCAAATTAAGTGATTATTTTTGCAAGAAAGAAAATCGTGATTACTGTTTTTTAAAGGCCATTGTAGTATGATTGGAAAGGTTTAATCGGAAAAAGGATGGGTCTATTCAATTTTAGGGTTAACGGGATAAGTCCATTCCATTTGAGGGATGACAGGTGGGGAGGGTCCATTCCATTCGAGGGGTGTCAGG